AAAAATAAAAAGTAACAAAGAAATGCCTTATTTATTTGGGGGCTGTAGATGAGTTTGATATCAGTGAATCTTTCATTCCTGAATTATGTTATTTACTAATTTTTGAAACTTGTAACAATCTTTAGTTTTTAGTGACCATTTTTAAAATTGCCTTCATGCAATTCATGAAAGGACACTATTGTTGTAAGTAAATTACAAACCCACATGTTTGTAAATAACACAGTAACACATTGTTGGGAGCTACAGAAATATTTTGGGCTATTGCCCCTATATTAAATGGCTCTAGAAAACCATGTTTTATGAATTCTGAAGTCTCCTTCTTGGGTTTTATCTGTTCTTTCTTCTTGCAACTAAAATGTCACTTCCTTTGGGCAGCCTTACTTAAACCTCTTAGGTAGATTTTGTCACTCTCTCTGCTTCCTCTGATTTGGTTATACATCTATCCTAGCACTTACCTTATTACATTATTAGGGTTCATTTCTGTCTTATTCTCCTTAACTATAAATCATTTGAGTACTCATTTATCTCTACATTCCGAGTACTTAGCACATGCCTTGACTCCTAATAAATGTCAAAAAATACTTGGTCAACAGGTGCTGATCTGTGATTAAATGAAAAATCAGGTCACTCCCGTCTTGTAATTGTGTGCAGAGTAACAGCACACAGCACATCAGCTGATGAAGAATTCTTTCATAAAGGCCTTTTGGCTTCTTGCCCTGTTGTGGTTCCTTCCAAGCTTTTAGTTATATTTAGAGGAACAGGGTTGGCTCTATACCTATGTACTGTGGTCTATATTACCTTGCTTTTCGGTACATTTGCTGTAGCATATGTCTGAGAAATAGAATTTCACAATCCATTTCCTATTCCTGTAGGATCAGAATCCTACCAGGAAACTTCACGGTAGAAAAGAATCCTTAGGACAAGTAGGCATTCAAAAGGAGCCACTGTTCTAACAGAAAAATACATATGCAGAAGTGAATGGTCTATTTCCTGTCTCAGATCATGCACAGCCTGAGATGAGGGAGTTTTCCATTTATCTTTATACAGGCTCGAGGAAAAAAATGTAGTGAACAAGGGAACATTTAACATATTCACATTGTAAGATCATGAATTTATGACAATCCAGTTTCTATTCAAAGTGAGTTTCTCTTATTTCAATGGAGAGGTATAATAGGTATGGTGCCTGGTATATGTTTAAGTATAGCCTTGAATCCACAGTGACTTGTCATTATTACGGAATAGCCATGCAGGGACAAAGTCAACAAACAGTGCCTGAGATGGATGCAGGGCAGAGACCTTACTGACTCTCATTATTTGTCTGGAGAGAAGCAACTCTCTTTTGTGATTTTCAGCTCAACCCTGGATTATTTACAAACACTGCAAATACAGTAACTATAGTAACTCGGGAAAGAAAAGCAGTAAACCAAAACTGGAGCAGAAAGGAAGCTATCGGCCCTTTAGCTGAGAGCTGAGGTCTTTAGGAAGAAATGCCAGAGGCCTAAAATCTGCTTAACATTAACAAACAAGCAAACAAAAAACCCAAGAAAATGAACAGAAGAAACCTCCAGCAGTCAAGAGAGGGGTTTCAGGAAACAAAAGTTATTTACCCCAACAGAGGTCTCTAAAACAGATGCTATTTTTCTCATGTTGGATTGACTGGGGTAAGTGAGGAATATGGATGGATATCTACGTTTGGTTTATTTTAGAACACAATCTATGTATAAATAAGCCTTGGTCTTTTAACTCAATTTATTTCCCATTTTAATAAGGCCAAGAAAATCTGGGTATAGAACATTATTTAAAGAGATCCTCATTAAAAACATTCCAAGTTAACTAACTGCATTGGGGATTCTAAACATCCATTAATTCACATCTCAACAAATAACATTTCTGTAAAACTCTTTTTATATATATTTTAATATGTAAGGCATTCATGTGATTGCATCCTTTTAAACAAACCTTATGTAAAATAAGATCTTATAGGACTATAATATGAATTTCTTACTTTTGATCAATATATCATAGATATGTAAGATATTAACATTAGAGAATACCAGGTGAAATGTACATAGGAATAATCTTCATGAAATTTGCAATTCTTCTTTAAATATAAAATTATTTAAAAATAAAAAGTAAAATAATATAAAGGGGTTAGCCGTTCGGAGCTAGAAGTGACCCGGCTTTTGACAGATAGCAGGGCTCTGGGATTAGCTCAAGGCAGCACAGTGGGTTGCAGAAGGCCCCTGACTCCCAGCTCAGCACTCTTTCCCTCTGTCCTGCTGCCACTGAGGAGGGGACTGCTTCTGCTGCAGCTGGACAGTTCACTCAGTGCTACCTGCTCGTACAAGCCCAGGGACCTGCCTTAGATGACTCTCTGTTCCAAAGACCAGAAGACACACCATCATGAATGCGCTGGATAGCAAAAACTGATCCGACTGTAAAGCCAGAGGCCAGAAGACTCAGTCACCAAGTTCATTACCTATTTACTCAATATCCAACGTCAATACCAATCTATAGCACACAGTACAAAGTGGCACCATTAAATGACAAATGTGAAGCACTCACAGATGCACTGGTGTAGGCTAATCTATCAAACACATTTCATTATTTTTTCAATTAGTCAGAGATTTTCCCACAAAGCGCTATTAAAAAAAAAAATTCCAGAAGGATGAAGGGGCTAAATTATCGCATTCTAGGCTCCTGATTCTGTTCCGGTTATTCAGGCATCACCATGATTTGAACAGGTGCAAACAAAAGATAAGTTCCCAAATTATATATTAAAATCTTTATAGCTTCCTATAAGAAAAAATTATTTGTAGCCCCTGTGGAATATTCCTATAATTTTAGAATAAACAGTGAAAATTCAGCAACTACCCAAAGTCCTTATTTTGTTGCATTGACTTAGGAGATTTGCTTGTGAATTGTGGAGGTTTAATGTTTTAGAAGTAATTTCCGGAGTTTCCATAGATTGTATACAGAGGACTAGAAGTGGCTGACACTTGTTATATTGTTTTTTTGGTTGGTGTGGTTGGGTTTGTTTTTAACTACAGGAGATTTATTTTTCTGTTTAAAGTGAAGTTAACCTAAATCCTTTACTCTTGTATTTCCCAAGTCTTCCAGGTAATGGAGAGCTCGTTCCATAGAAAAAAGTCTGTGTTATATTTAGAGTTCAGCTTCTTTTAGGTATCACTTATCTTTGGGCTGATCGGTACTAATTACTTTTTAGTTTTGTAAAAAAACAAACAAATAAACAAACCAAAACACCCAAAAAAAACAAAAATGAAAAAAAACCCCAAACCACCGCATTCCTAAGGGAACCCGGCCACCCATCAGCAAGCCTGGAAGAAGTGTGTCCATCACAGACACGAGGATTCACCGCACCTCAGAGAATGAGCTCTCTCGCAGAGTCCTAAAATATGGGCTTCCGTGGGTAGATTTGCTTAGAAGATTCCAGTTTTAGTACCTAATACGAAACATAGGATCTGGTTGACAGATACTCAAGTAACTTCTCACATCTGGAAGCCCCTGATGGAAACAGTTATTCTAGTAAAATGTAAACCTTGCAGTGTGGTGTATAACTTGCCACCACAGCCCACTGTATATGGGAATTCGCTAAGAAAAAGTTCTCACTTCCCATCAATTAGCCTCTTCCTTTGGCCCCATTTATTTCCCTATATTCTTAAAGGCTGGCAGACTTTGCAAAAATGCTATGGGTTTTGTAATGAGGTGATATATTCTCTACTTACTGAGAACATGTTTCTGTTTAAGGAAACACAAGTTTCAACATGGCCGTTGCTGTTCTAGCAAAACACAGATCTTGGGAATGAAGTGTGAAAGGGTGGATGTGATTTGTGTAATACAAATACATTTGCTTACAGTTGATGTCTTTATGAAATAGTTATTCCATGCTACTTATGATGACTTACGATTGGTTTTAGTTACAAGAACTACGAGAAATGAAGAAGGCCAGTATTCACTGAATTCATCATGGCTGTAAGTCTACAGTAAAAATTAAAGTTATATTTGTGATCATCATACCATTTCTGTATTTGTTTCTTTTGGGGGGCTGAGGGTGGTCTCTTGGTGGCAGGAATGGTTTTTTTTTTGTTTGTTTTGTTTTTTTAGCTGAGCCATCCTGCTACCTGTTGGCAGCTCAGTGGCTGCTCAGCTCAGGCCGGGACTCGAACCACTGTTGCTCAGAGCTCAAACTCTTAACCAACTGAGCCACTTGGCCGGCCCAGGAATGGTTTTTAGGCCATATCTCTATCTCTATGTTTATTTTTTTGTTTGTTTTCTATAGTTGGCGGGGGGTAAGGACACAGAATCTCAGAGCACACAAATGGGTATTTGAAGATTAACACCAGTAAATGGAATATACACAGAGGTAGTTCTAGCACCATATCATTCCAGGTAATGGGGAAGTTGTTACCTAGAAAAAAAATCTGTATTGTAGAGTTCAGCTTCTTTTAGACACCACTTTTCTTGAGGTGCAACAGCACTAATTACTGACTAGCTTTCTAACTGGACAGGTTTTTGGTACCACAAAATACAGCAGAAAACAGACACTGTGACAACATAAACCCACAAGCTCACAATTACAAAGCTGACAACCTCTTCCTCCAAACCCTCAATTTTAAGTCCTCAGTGTAAATTTTGTCTTGGTTACAGCTTATTTTCAAGTCCTTTCTAACCTCTCCCAGTTTATATTCACGTGGTGACACTGTTACATTAAGTGTATTCAGAAGAAATCATCAGCCAGTCACACAAAGGAAGAAAAAACAGCCACTAATCAATGCAAACCATAGTCAGAAGCTTACCTTAGGAGCATTTGAGATCTTGCTCCCTGGCATACGTCGTCAGTTCGGCTGAAATAAACTCTTATACAAATTCAAAAAAATAAAACAAACAAAAAACCTTACCTTAGTTCCTTGAAGGGGTCTGCCCTGACATTAGGTGTCTCTATAGATTTAGGGAACACTGTGCCCTCTGCTCCTGTAAACAAAAGAAAAAAGCAAACAGAGGTTGGAGACTGTTGGATGTGTCACCTGGGGGCACAATCAGCTAAATGCAGTGAATACTTGATACAACTCAATACACACATACTCTGCCACTGGCTCTAGGGCTCCATAATAGGAAAGCATTGAATCAACTCATGCAAACAGCCTTTGAAAAAGCAAGAAGCTTCTTTTGAAAGTGTTCTTGCTGAGATCAGAGTGAGGCCATGAGGCAAATTCCATGTTGGCGTAAAAGAAAAAAATGCCCAGAAATGGCACGGTCTGACTCTTGTCTATCATGAACTATAATAGTCACCCATCGGGAAATGCCTGGAAAAACAGCAGCTGAAGCCCTCTTATGGCAGTCAGGGTGCAAATCACATACCGTATTTGCCGGCGTATAAGACGACTCGGCGTATAAGACGACCCCCTAAGATTTCCACTCAAAATACAGAATGTGTTATATGGTCTGCTGTGTGCGATTTTGCGAGTGTGGTAAAATCGCATAACAGCAAAATTGCATAACAGCCGAGCATACACCCAGCAGCGCTGCTGATGCCTGAACGGTATGTGGAATGAAGTGGGCGGGCATCGGGAGGCCACTATGGCACGGGGCAAGCACTATGGGCAGTCTATCTGAAGTGTACCTGGCGTATAAGACGACCCCCCACTTGGAGGCATATTTTTCAGGGCCAAAAAATCGTCTTATACGCCGGCAAATACGGTAAGCAGTGGTAGAAATGGCGATGATAGAAAACGTTGTAAGACGATAAGATATGTGCCTAATTACAGTTTATTCAGCGAATAAAGTTGTACACTATTATCTTGAAAGTTCAACAGAAAACTCGGGCGAGATCACTTGAAGTTCAGCGCTTTCACACTTGGAGTGTTGACATTGATTCCCAGCCCAATCTAGACATTTAGCTGTTGACTTTGCTATAAGCTTTTATCTTTACAACTTGTCAACCCCAGCCCGACCTTTCTAGCCATAAAGATTGTGATTATCTGATTTGTCAGCTCCCAAAGTGTTTTCAAATCATTTAAGCCTCAGTTTATCACAGACAATTGCACTGGATTATTAATTTTTCAATTAAACTTAGCTAGGCTATCTCCTGTCCTTTGAAGGGAAGGTGTTTATTTTTATACATTGGGTGTAGTTCATTGATACTGTAAGGAGGGGTAGAATACTATCTTGCATTCATGTATGAATTTCTAGGATCCTCTTGCATTGTTATAATGTCTGAAAATCCTCCATTAACCACTGCTATGCCAAATTCAGATTTATCATGGCAGATGATGAGTCTAGGAAAATAAATTGGTTTCTTTACTTTTGTAGCAACTATGGAAATATTGAATCTTTCTGATATGAGTAAGAGGCTATTGCAAATCAAATCAGAAAATAATGCCTTGACTTAACACTATATATAGTCATTGAAATAATATCCTGGCAAATAATAACTATTATTCTAAGTGAACATTTTGAGTAACTACTACTTGCCAGGCACCATAATATTGGTTTGTTGGAAAAGTCATGACACATTTTTGCGACGAAAAACATAGAAAAAATACGTTATGACTTTCCCCACAACCCAATATATACTTTGCATATAGCAGCTCATTTATTCCCTGCAATAACACGATAAAATTGACAGTTGCAGTAGACACAGAGACTTTTAGTGTGGGGACACTGATGATCTTTCTTTGCTTGTAAACACTTTCAGTTTTCAAGATCCCAGACCACATCATTTCAAACAAAGCAGAAAGTACCCATAGCCCCATTAAAATACAACTTTTTCATGTAAATGTCTTAAGAATGCCCATTGTTTTATTATGCATATATTGTTTACTTTGCTTTTGTGATTCCAATTTTATTGTATTCTTTATAACAGTAATGGGTAATCTTATGTGTCAACTTGACTGGATCACAGGGTGCCAAGATATTTGGCTAAACATTATTTCTGGTTTCCAGATGAGATTAGCATTGGAAGTGGTGGACCCAGTAGAGGAGGGGGCCCTCACCGATGTGAGTGGCATCATCCTATCTGCTGAGGGACTGAAGAGAAAAAAACAGTGGAAGAAGAAAGAATTCGGCACCTCCTGCCTGACTGCTTGAGCTGGGACATCAGCCTTCTGCTCTCAGAGCTCCTGGTCCTCAGGCCTCAGACGTGCACTGGGATTGACACCAGCGGCTCCCCTGGTTCTCAGGCGTGTGGACTTAGACTTAACTGTGAATCGGCCTATCTAGGTCTCCATCTTACAGACAGCAGAGTGGGACTTCTCAGCTTCTATAATCGAGTGAGCCAATGTCTTATAATAAATCTCTTCCTATACTGGCTCTGTTTCTCTGCAGAGCCCTGACTAATACAATTACTGAATCAGAATGGGTTGGATTACAGATTGTCATGTAGCTTTTGGTACGTGTGTATTCCATTGGGGTTCTCAGAGTATCCAATATCCCTCATCGCCTACATTTCTGTCATCTTTTGAATCATACTAGGCAGTGGCAGTGTGCTGGCTGCCTGGTGGCGGAAACAGGCCTGCAGAGGTCACAGGACAGTGAGTGGCACCCTGGGATGTGGCTCTAGGCTGCCCGACACCCAAGAGCCCGCCCTCAGCCACCTCTTCAATCTGTTATTGAACAACTCCCATCTGTCACCCTTGCCGTTCACAGGGACTTTCCTTTGACATTCTTAGAGATGCTTAGTTCTTAGCCATCTTAACCCCATTTAAAAATATAGATAATTGAAAAGAACAATTATATGTCTCGCGAAAGCAAGGACGGGTATTTCTGTTTATATACTAGTTATCTATACTCTTCAGTCCCAACTCAAATTTCCCCTTCCTCTACCAAGAATTCTATGAAAACTGCAGTAGAAAGGGCATTACCTCTTTAAATCAGCCATAATTGTCTGACTTACTGATCCGGCAATTAGTTCTGCCCATGGACAACACTCATTATTTGAACTATTACTAGAATGCGGTCAAGCTTAATGTTTCACCGATTTCTCCTATCCACTCCTATGATCATTTTATAAGGCCTTTGAAGCCGAAGAATAGGTATTTTGCAACTTTTGACAATGCCAAATATGTGCATACAGTGGAGCATATATTACATTTATCCTGGCCAATTATCCGAAAATGAGGGATGACATTTTCTTACATAACATGAGCCTCAAAAGCCTGGGGAATTTTCTTTATCCTACTCAGGCTTTGTGCTGAGCCTGTTTCTTCATTTGTCAGATCCAACGACAAAACCTCATCTGTGCCTTGACTTCTTACAGCTGGCTGTCCCCGGCAATTAGAAGGGGGGACTCTACTGCAGCTGGTGGCCCTTAGCTCTGCCACCCTTATCAAGCAATTCCGAGGGGAAGAAAAGGTTACAGTGAAGCTACCCAGCACATTCCAGGCGCTCACTGTATGTTTCTGGAAAGAACATAGTCGCCATTGAACAGCTGAACTTGTGTTCCCCATTTTCTCTGATCTGTAAGCACATCTGCTATGCTCCTGACTGGGAGTGTGTCCAGGTTTCGGTCATATTCCCATTGTCCCCATTGTCCAGCACAGTGTGGGCACTCAACAAATATCTGCACAATGACTGCACAACTCATTGGCATGAGCACACACTACCTGGGATTTTTATTTACCTTGCAGACTTTCATCTCATCTCATCTCTTTAACTAGGTCTTATGCTCCGTGTGGCCAAGGGCAAGGTCATATGTGAGGATGTGTCTTTAGGCTCCCAAGGCTTCTACTGGACTTGCTTCCAGTTGTTACTGCCACTTCTATGGCAGCACTGAATAATTGTTATAAAACTCCTTGTGCATTACATTTTTAATAAATGTCCAAAATCTCAATCCAACACATTTTACCTGTTATCTCTAAAATAAAAGAATATGCTAACAAATGAATGCTATGTGGGCTAAATAAAAATATTTCTAAAGTAACATGAGAGCAAAAGACTTGTGGTCTCTTTCTCAGACCAAGGAACCTGCTTGTCCTATAATAGGACTGGAACGGAAAACATGTGGGGCTTATGGTCACATGGCCAGTGACTGCTAGAGCTGAGACTCACACCCAAACACCTGATTAAAGAACCCACTTTTAGTCACTGAGCCCTAGTGCCTCGTTTTTTCAATTCCAGGCCAATGTAGCACTCACTAAATGGCAATCCAGCAAAAACCATAGTGGCTGGGCTCTGACTGGTGGAGGAGGTGGGTGACTGACTGGGTCTGGATTTGAAATGGAAATGAAAGGTGAGATGCTCATGCTCCCTTAGTGCCCACCACCCAGCCACAGGCCCTTTGACTTTGTTTCTGCTGGACTTTGGCCAGAGGGGCCCACATGTCCCTTACATACTGGAGGACAGGTTCATGGATATGACTTCTCAGGGAAAGGTATCGAAATCTCTCATCAGCCAAGTGATCCTGGGCATGAAACCCACTTTCTCTCAAGCTCAATCTCCTTCTCTAAAAAGAAGGGATATTGATAGTACCCTCTTCCCCTAGGGATCTTGAATGAGATTCCTGGCACCTAGCGGTCAGCAGATGATAGTTAACAAAATACTACTACTAGTACCAAAATGTTTACGAACTCTATTGTTTCCTCCTCTTATCTGGGTCGTCTAGTCTATGATTATTTAAAAAAATAAATAAAATTAAAGCACTTACTATGAAGTAGAAACTATTGAAACTTTTCATTTGATCATTAGAATAACTTTGAGGTAGTGACTATTAATATTTGTTTTTATGGATGTTATCTGTGACGAGGCTCAGAGAAGTCAGGAAGTTTCCCTAAGGTCACACAGCAAAGAGGAGGAACCAGGATCTGAACTCTTAATATTTCAGCTCTGGAACAGATGCCCTTGGCCACTACTCCAGACTGTCTCTTTCAGCAGATTACGTCACTCTCTACTTGTTCATCTTTTTATGCGATATAAACAAATACCACTGTTTATATCCTCAAGCGATATTTGGTAAATACCCCATCACAGCCTCTTCT